ACACTTGTGTCTGCTTTAAATCCAAATGTTGTAGCAGTCTAGTTGAGATATGAATGCCTGTGCTCTCAGTCCGCACTTGTTTGAGTCGAAGTGGCATCTAGTCGTTTGTGAAGCATTTACAACCCTAGCGAACTCCGCTACGTTTTTTCTCCATAGCAGTGTCATGGTTCTTTATAGATAGTAAATGTATTATGATAATTCTTAGAATCATTTTGTTGTTGCCCGTTCAGAGTATGGAAGGGTTTGAGACAATGACATCTGATTCTGAAAACGATGCTGACGGGGCGCTGAATGTAACGCGAAGTGTGCGGTTTGCTGAACATAGAGAAGTGAAATCGGTTTTTTCGTGTCCCTTCTTACGTGAAATGTTATGAGTATGCAGATCCGTCGTATGCCGTCGATCGAAGCAAGCGAAGCTCGCCAAGCGCGACTGCCTTACTCACCGCCACTGATTGATTGTTCATTTTCTATAAATCTTCCAGATCATATCAAATATACTGTGTTTTTCTTCGCGCCAATGGTAAGTGTTCGAACATATCCATTGATATAAATTTGAATTTCGCTAAATGTCATCAGTAAAGAAGTTGCCGTTCCGTTTTGCGCGTATACTCGCTTATTGAGATAATCCTAATTCTTTTTTTTAATCGTAACTTCGCTTAAGTTCCATTTCAGTGGCTCGTATGCACGTTCACATATCAGGCGGCTCTCCTTTTCACATCTGTTTCATCGCTGAATTTGATCTCATCATCTTCTTCCCTTTTTGTTCTACTCTTTCTGATCTGCTTTCCAACTGCTACGTCGAGATTCACCTCTATCAAAGTAGGTGCATTTCATCTACGAGAACCAATCTCACCAGAATCGTTTTTGAGGCACTACTAGTGGTTATGAATTTGGGAGGAGTCTTTGTCGTTTCACAGTTTTCCGCTTCACTTAAGGGAGCGATATTCGCCCAGGTACTGCTTAATCTGATCTTTCGTTTTTCTTATGTTTCCTTTCCCTCGTATGTTTTTTTTT